AAATTATTTCCTGGAAATAAATTTACTAGGATCTATAAGGGAATATTTGGGATTGTTTTTTTTTTGTTGTTGCTTCAATTGCATTGAATTTGAAAGTAGACATGAAAATATAAATTTGGGAAGAATGCAAGGGGGGCTTGAAAGGATTAAAACTTTATGATAAAAATCAAAATATGTTAATTTTAGCAAAAATAAAACCTGTGCAAACTTTGAAAAAAAAAACAACTTTGTGTATATAAGTTATTACTTTTAAGTACCTGCATCAGCATATATCCTTAAAATACCAATCAAAAGAGTAATGTCCCTTTAACGCACCTAATTACATTCAGTATTCAAGTTCTGAGCCTGAGATTTCATGAATATTAATTAAGACAATTATCTTTGAGAATTCAAAATGATTTCTGTTTTATGAAGAAATTTAGTAACTTAATGAAAATTTAATGTAGAATATATCATCATGCAGGAATGACAAAGGCCTGCTCCATCTCTAAAGTCATACAAAAAATAATTCACTCCAATATCAATTTGCATAATCCAAATTAGATTTTAATATTATACAATGGCTTATAGATAAAACATTATAAAATTGTATAAAAAAATCTATTAGTTTGGGAGTATTAAGTTTCAGAAATTCATAGCTTCATCTGCCCCCAGAGAGGAGTAAATTATAATACTTATATACGCGTGCGTGACCGTGTCTCTAGAAATATTGTGTAATAAAATAAATTTTATTATTGTTCCTATCGTCAGTTTTGTATATCTGAATCATACTTGGCAAATCATAGTTGGAATTGATATGAAAAGGAGAACAAAAAATTGAAAGAAATTGGAAATTTGAGAGGTATTTCAGAGCAGTTATATTATGAGCATTTTAATCTGGGTTTTTCATTCTCTACTTAAATGACACAGGAAATTAAATTTTGAAAATATATTAAAAAAAATTACATGTGCTAGATATTATGAAAGGGATTCGGTAGGTGGTAAAATTATCATTTCTGGACAGATCTGATGAAGAGCAAGAACAAATTCTAGTTGCAAATGTCTGTAACCCTCTGTAAGTTGCCACTTGCACATACTTGGTGCTCTGCCTTAACCCCCTCTGAGTTATCAGTTCATCTCTGATATAATTTTCTAAATTGGAACTGATAGTTTGGTGTATGATAATATAAGTATAATTATGATAAATTGCGGGGTAATGATGAGAGATCAGCCTTTGACTCGGGGTATCCATATCATCTTGTCTTAATCCTGCTCATGGCACCGAGTGTCACAGAGCCGTAGACCTCCGACACGTCAGACAAGATAGGATTATCAACAATACGGCAGGCCATTGTAAGCCGTGATTCTAAAGAATCAAGGCCTTGTTCAGATTAGGCAGACCCTTGCATGTCCACTGACCATTTGTCATGTGGGTTATGAAGACGTATGACAGATGGCAGCCATTTATTGGTCATCTTAACACTTTAAGTCGTAAATAACCGGGATCAAAGTTTTGTAGCATTGTCTGAAGTTAAAACTGAAGGAGCTGTATCTGTTGATCTAGATCTACAGCTAATCTCCCGCTTCAATGACTTTGCTTATTAAATTATCGATAACAGAAAAAAAGGTAACATTATTTCATCGAGGTCAGAAATTTTAATTTTCTTTGGTACAATTTCTTTCTTTCCTTCTTCATGGTTTGTGACCCTGGTTGACTTAATGATTTTGTTCAGCATTTAAGGATGATTAAAATATTAAATTTCTGTGATATTCAACACAGATAGGAAATAAGCAGAACAATAGGTATATTTTCTGCCCGACTAGAGTTATAAATCTTTGTACCAGAATGCACCGTCTGCCTATGAGGAGGCAAGACATCCATGATTAACCATTTCAAACTTTCTGCATCCTTGAATTTGAGTGATATTCTTGTGTAAAGGATTTTTATATATTTTTTGCTTGGATTCAGTTAGGGTTATGATAAACAACCTTGTATCTTTATATATTTTTTCAGACGTAAATATGATCATTTATTATCATTAATCTTCTTTACTTGTCAGTCTGGTTTTTATGTGTACAAATCATGTGCACTACAAAGCAACTTCAGTGAAAAAGTGTTTTGGTAACAGGAAAGAGAATACTTATTTAACTTTAAAAAAATTCTGTAAATTAAATCACAAAGTTGGTGTATTTGAGGACTTTGATTTATGTCATTGGTATGCTAAATGTCATGTGACCTTGCTCCTGCTGTTACCATGGCGCTGACTGCAGATGAAGGAGAAGAGATACTTCCTGTTGTAGTTAGAACACTACTGAGCTAATTTGTCAATGGTGTGTAAACTTGAAGAATTATGATAGCCAGACCCTTCCTGGGCTGTATCACAATGCCTGTCTTTTCCTGCTGGGAGATACAAATTGTAGTCTAACCCCTTGTATGCCACACGCAGCATCCTTCCATAATCCACTCCTAGAGATCGGCTGCTATCAAAGAATCCCTGTCGAGGTGCGAAACTCAAGAGATTGCATTTTCAATGTGATGAAAAAGTTTGAAGATATACAGGCCTTTTGAATTCTTTGAGAAATTCCACCACTTGAATTTATAGCACTTTGTATAAATCAGATACAACTTATATAAAATTAAGTCTTCTATGACCTCCATTTTTCTCCTCTGAACAAAAATGTGTGAATGAGAGATAAATAAATGCACATTTTGATTGTTTTTAAAGTTCATGTACGTAAGAAGATCATACACATCTAGTTTTTTGTTACTTTTTCAAATGATTAATGCTTGGGATGGTTCTTTATATTAAATTTGATTAATTCAATTAAAAACACAGCTGAACTTCTTGTTTTGCAAAATTTGTTGAGAATGTAACACAAGAAATCTACTTATATCTCGATGATGAATAATATTGGATAAGAAACATGAAAACGATGTTATTTTTGGGTAGAAACAGAACCAAAAATATTAACCACTGATAACAAGGGTCACATTCCTTGCACTGTCATGACTTTAAAAGAATAGAAAGAGAAAATTACCAGCAGTTGGTGTTTGTTGGGGGTTTGGGGAATAAATCGGGCTGCAGACCTCCTCGTTATATATTATAAGACTGACACATCATGAGAGGAGAAAATATGATCAGCGATATCACGAAAATTTTGACAGACTTATAGCTTTAGATTTCAAACTCAGCTGTGTGGGTATGTCATTCAAATCCCTCAAAAATTTACGAGCACTGGAAGAAGGCCATGTTTCCATCATTATTCATAAACAGGCTAGTTATTAGAAGAGATTTATGAGAGACGCTTTTTTTTAAAAAGTCGATGCCAGTATATAATTTTTGCATTTAAGTATTTGAAATTTTCTTTTTTGTACCAAATTTTATTTTTAAAAAATCAATTCAAACTTAAAACTTTTTAAAAATGAAAATCAATTTTCGATAAAATAGAAGATTTTTTTTTTAAATTGTTGAAAGAAAAAATATAAAGAAAAAGAAATGATTTATCATTGGATATAAAAAATATAAAGAAAAAGAAATGATTTATCATTAGATATACTAAAGAAAACATGCTATAAAAAGTCAGACAAGTGGACATTAAGTGAAGGTTCCGTATTTTTCAAAATTGTGACTTGATAAGGGTCATAGTGTACAAAAAAAGCTTTGATCTGATCCAGATCACATATTATGTATGTTATTGTCGAGTGTTTCTTCTCTCTTTGGGCTAAGACTGGAGGCTTAATGATCTGTTAAAGGATGCAATTCTCAGAGACTTTGATATGGTGGAACATATGTTCAAAGGCCATGATTTTTCTGCTAGCTGTTGATGATATAGGTATTGGGATTCTCAGAATGGATTGTTTGGAAATAATCACAAGATACCATCTGCAAGTTGGAGAACTTCAGGCCATTTTGCGGGGTGTTGAGAACTTAGTATCAGATGGACACATCTATTTTATTTTTATAATCATTTTCTACATCAAGTTCCCTGATATTTGAAATATGTGTTTCATATTTCCTCAATAGATTAGCTCTGAATTTAAAGAAGCAATGTTGTCTTTTTTAAGTTGAGTAATATTTGCTTCATATGTTTTTATTTTATCCACAATATAAACATAAAAGTTTTCTTAGCCCATTTCTTGAAAGCTTGATTTCTCAAAGATTCATCATAGCTTGAATCTGACAGATTTTTTGGAAATCTCCATTCTTTAGAAGTTTGGAAGGAAAACAAAAAATCAGTTTTAGCCATGTTAAAATGACAATGAATTTACAGTAAGATTTTATCATTAAATTCACTAGTGTTTTGTCAGCAGTTTGAAGATATAACTGTTCAAGCAAATACCAGAAACTTTTTGGAGAGATTAGCAGAATAATGAATTTTCTTTAGATATTTTCATCTCCCCTAATCACCCCTAACAGATGCGAAGAAATGTCATTTCGGAAATAAAATTCACTATATGATTCATTTTGATGTCAAAATAAATTGCATCTTTCTGGAATTGAATAAACAACTGGGTCATATTTTTGGGATGCCTTGCAGATATAATTCAGGTGAAAAAAATAGGGTTACAAGGGACGTAATTCTCATTTGCCTTTACAGACTCTGTCATTACATACAAAACTTATTGTTTTTTCAATAAATTACCTCTAACTAGACATCCGATGGAATGTATCATACTGCACTAGAATTAAAAAATGGAGGTGAAGAACAGTAAATAATTTACAATGAAAGGTGCACTTGTGAAGATTCCTCAGAATTTTATTCTATTGCTGAAGTTGAACACTTAATCTTCAATCAAGTTTGACCTTTTATCTATTTGCAAAGGTTGATGCTCATTCAGATGATTTTTTTCTCTATATGCAATAATTGAGTATGCATTAATTTGGACAATTTTTTTTTTTTTGCACTCAAACAATTTTCTCTAATGATACAGTAGTTGAGCACTTGCTCAGACAATATAACTTTTTTTATGTTTGCAGTAGTGCAGCAAGAAATTAAATGATTTTTTTTTTAAATTTCAGTGGTTGAGCGTTCGCAGTATGTCAGCGATGACCCATTTTTCCGCCACAAGTGTCGCCTCTGTCAGAAGGTCTTTGGCAGTGACAGTGCCCTGCAAATCCACATCCGCTCTCATACAGGTAAATATAGGTTTATATCCACTTTTAAATAAAGTATCCATTTAGTTTTAGATGCACCAATATATATATCCAGCATTAAGTATAGCCTAGTGCACAATGTAATGGGGTCTGAGAGGTGAATATATCCTTTTGTTCTAAGATGACTGACCTATGTTTAGGTCAGTAACTTTGACCTTTTGGGGTGACCTTTCTGGACAAAGCCTTACATGACATACTGCAATAATCAGCTGATTATATAGACCTGCATTATACCTTATAATAGTGATGGGGTGTTTCTCACCACCCTACAGTACATGTAGCCTGTATGATAACAGCTCTGATTATTAATAAGAGATGAGGTCTTCTCACATCTTTGTTTGAGCCAGGGGATCCTTGTCTGTACCAAAAAGGCAGTGTTGCCAAAACTCTCACAGATAGGTAGAAATAGAGATTGAGGGGGAGGGGGAAGTAGAAACTTAGTCTCTTGTGGTATTGTTTAAATGATTAAAAATATTAATTCTGAATTAAAAATTCTAAATGTAGTAATACAATTGGAATTTGGTAGGGAAAAATTCAAAAACAAATTGTAAATGTGCTTGTTTTCTATCATCATCATAAAATATTTCAGAACCCTTTATATTATGATAGTATCTGTTCATGTACAAAAACCTTTATTAAGCTGGAAGGAACTTAAAATATGCATTTAAAAGTATGGTCCGGGGCTAGAAATTGCCTTTTGATATTAATTAATTTTATTTTCTGCCAATGTGCTGTAGGAAAAACAAGCCCATGGACGTGGAAGTATGATATTGGTTATAAATTCTGTTAATAAATGAGCAATGCAACCTATAACACAAAGCCCATAGGGAATTAAAAACTGTTATATCAAAGAAAAGCAAAAAAAGGATTCAGGATTAATGAAGAAAATGTATGCTTGTTTTATGATCGGGTCCAGGTCTTAAATTGTGCAGTTAAATTAGAACGGTCTCACTTTTTCCTGGGCTGTAATGTGTTGCAGAGCAATTACAGGTGAAGTTATTCCGGTGTAAATCATTTGATAAAGGAGATGATATCACCCAGTTCAAAATTATTAGTTCCATAGTCGGCTATGACATCTGAATATTGAAAAATATGATTTATGTCTTCAAGCCTCTTGGAGCGCACAGGTTAACTTTCCATAAATTGATTTAGAAATGATGGGTCTGCTATTTTTATTACGAAAACGTCATGTAAATTTCACTTGTAACTAGCTGCAGAAATGATTTATTGAACATTCACCTACTCGCTTGTATTTGATTAAATATTTCATTTTTGCCATAAAATAATTCTATATAGCAACCGCCATATTTCTTTGGATACATGGATAGTCGTACTCGGAAAGTACGAGACTGATATTGGGAATATATCTATCAAATCTGTCAAGTGTAAGAGATAAGTGGAAGCACTACTTTTAAACAGTTTCAAGAGTGTTCGATTAACAAACAAGAAAAAATTGAAATAAAAAATGAAGATATATTTTCCTGTAGTTTGTATCAGAAGAAATCTAGGTCTTGAATTGCGTATGTAACCATGCCATATGTCCTTTGGCCTCTCTCACAATTGCTTCGCACTATTCGTCTGGGAAAATATTTTATATTGTCATAATTGTATTAAATGGGTACGCGAAAACGACATGTAAAAACCGGAATGTCCAAATTGATGATTTTACAACACTATCAGCAAGGTTCAGTTTGACAATGTCAGTCATAAATTATCAATTTTACGTCAGTATTTCTTAACAATTGTGTGAGAATTGAGTTATAATTCACCTAATATCGCAAACACCGCATCATAATCTTGAGCAATTTACAAGTAACATGGACGCTGCGAGTTCTTCACCGTCCTGTGAATCGAATTAGCAGACGACCCTTGGTGTCATCTGCCGCCAAAATTGACACGACGCAATGAACATGATGAAAAGAGGATCTGCTTTTTTTGTTGTATCGATTCTGCAATTCTTGAAGAAATTTATCTTTTTTGTCCCCAACATTGTAATCTAATTCTTAAACAATTTATGGTTCTTCGATAACTAATGAAACCCTCTTATTCCTGGACAGCCAAGAAAAATCATCCAGTAATTTTGCCAGTAGAAGGTGCAATTTATATTACAGACTTTGAGAATGCAATATCTTTTTTTCTTGTAATCGAATTAAGTGATAATGTCTTCACTTTATTATGAAAGACAGTTTTTTTTCAAATGTGTTGGTCTAGGATTAAGAATTGGCGTGCCGGATTCCTAACATTTCCCTTTTTGTGCGGGTTTTTGCCAATACATCGTGGCATAGTCGCCTGCGTCACAAAATTTATTCCTGCAGAAAAAAGCATAATAATATTATTTCCTTTTAATTTTCTATTTTAGGCCTATACAATATATCATGCAAGTTTTCTTTGTATGTTAATTTTATTGGTTGCTGTGACTTAATTTTCGTTTCGGTTCAGGGAGAAAATGAGTGATTGAGAATTTGCCGGACAGTTTCATTTGAAGCCCATCTTTTAATCACGATTCGCCTTTAAATTTACAAGGGCAGCGCATTACTCAATATTCTCTCTGGACCTTTGTGAAATGCATAGGTCACGGGGATAAGAAAGAATCCCCCTCACACCTGCCGACATGGACCTCGCACAGCTGATTAAAAACTGGACAGACATTAAACCAAGAGACAATTAAATAACGTTTTAACAACTTAAATCTCATTTACTTTCCTTTATTTATGAAAATTTTGTACGCAGTTAAAATATGACCATTCTAGCAATATTTTCTTAAATGCCAAGAGTATCTTTGATGAGTTAGGTTGAAAGAGACGAATATTGGCAGTGTATCGTTTTATGCGAAGGAAAGGGGGCCCTGACAATTATAATTCCTTTTGATTGAATTTTCCTATATGGCAATAACTCTAAAATTTACATTAGAATTATAATATTTCCCTCTGATGTCGAAAGAAGGCTATTTTCAATTTTAAAAAGCTAAGGTTGCCCATTTGTATGAATCAGTACGTACACGGTGAGCTTGGTGTATTATTATCCCAGAATTATGGGATCAGACACCATAATAAAATGTAGGAATTTTCTTATTAAAGAGACATATTAATTTGCTGTTTATCTTGTAACGCATAAGACACGGGATTCCTTCATCTTTAGAGGATTATTCCACAAAACGTTCTTTGGTAATAAAATTTTATCTATCAAGATATTCATCCAGCATTTGTTATCGGGGGACACATTTATAATTTGAATAAATTTGAAGGTTTGGAATTAATTTTGTATTAATATTTTTAAAGAATATTCTGAACAAGTAGTTTCAGATCTCTTGGAATGTATGAGCCAGGAATTTCATGAATCAACTCGCACCTGTGATTTTTTTTTATGATATCAATGGTAATTATACTACAAAATTTGATACATCCTTCTCGACTCATAAATTCAAAAAAGCCGTCTTCCACAAAACCCCTCGGACCGTCATTATCATAAATGTCATTTTATAAAATTGCTTTTTTACAATAGTGGAGGTCAGCCTCACCTCGGGAGAAATTTGACAAAATGATTGCCCCTTTTGTCGGTGCCGTACATAATGACCAATTTTCACTCCAACCCAAGATGAATTTAACACGGAGACGAAGTGACTTAAATATCTTTCCCTTATTATTTATGGCATCAAATAAAATCTGACAGGCTTATAAAGGATTGGATACGGCCAAAGGGATGTTGTATAATTTGTTACGGTCAGTTGAAGCTGACCAATGGTAATTACAGTCCTGTCATGTTCCGGCCTTTGAAGAGTTTGGCTGTATGATTCACAGATGGAATTATCTCTTAGACAAGAATCGAAGAGTTATTATTTTCTCGCCAATTTACGAACTTAAGAAACGGGTCATAAAAAGTCGAAAAATAATTAAAGTCAGACTTGGTCAAAAGAAATAGTGTTATTTCATATCAAAGTGAATGAGAGAAAAGTTGTAAAATTCAATTACTAATATCCCAAACTGAAATGGTCATTTTAGAATCCGGTAATTCGATATCTTTTATGCTTGTGAGGTAGATAGATTTTAGCGCTTGATCAACAAGAATTACATAACTGGTGCTGGAAATTCTTTAGAAATACGTTTAATGCCAGTCATAAACTCATGCCAGAGGGTCAACGACAATATTTGTATATATTTGATTATAGTTTTTAATTCAGATGTGAGGAAATTGGATCAATAGGTAGATATTTACTTAAAGATATTCATTTTCATACACCGTGGTCCGGTTTATAACAAACGCAAACATTTCTTTTCTGAGAGATAATTTAGATAAACACCCGCGACTTACTCCGTATTTTATCTCACCTCTCATAAAAGACCAAAAATTGAAACAAGAATCCATCTGTGTTTGTTCATCTTTAATTAATACATTTTAACCCACCAATCCCTATGGAAAGATATGATGAAAACAATTAAGGGCTTTCTTTTGGAGTGGACATCTGCGTTGTCCATCTCGGTCCAGCGACTGGGGATTTCCCTCTACGCTTCACTGACTCTCAGAAATTATATCACAAAAATGTCGTCTTAACCTAAATTATCAAAATTGCATAAGAGATCCCAGCTTAAGAATTAGAATTATGTGGGGGTTCGAGGATTATAAATATATCATATTAATGTTTGTCTTCCGGCTTAACCATTTCATTCAGCATATCAATTCGTCTTTCATACCTTTATCCTTAATCAGAAGTAAATAGAGGCAGGATAATGAGATCTAACGTAATCAACATGAACAAGCTTACGAGTCTTCTTAATTTTGAATATTTAAAAGAAGTTATCATAATATTAGTGTTATGATTCATTTTGTCTTATTAATAAATGCGTCTCATTTCTTTGGCCCCGCTTTTGTTGGCAGACTCGGTGCTGGCATTCTACAGTTTCAGTTATGTTTTATTGTGAAATAAATATTTATGCCTTTTGTCATAAGAACGTGTTTTTCTGTTATCTTATCGAATTTCGAACCCCTCCTGAAATGAGTCGAACACCGGGGTAATTGGCGTTATTTAATGTCTCAAAGTAAGAAAAATATAAACAACGAAATATTTAAATATAAGAAAACTTTTGATATCAGCTATAGTAAAAGTAAAGTTCAATTCTTTTATTAATCACTAGCGAGAAGAAGTGCCATTTTCAGCACGTATGTACGTTCTGGATTTTAGCAAAGCTCTCTAGACACTTCAGATCACTTTTGAAAATCACTGTTTGATTTATGGCGTTGAAAACCTTGGATTAATTATCCTTCCAAAACTGTTAAATTGCAGCCACGTTTTATTTCAACCTTACATCATAACGCATATGCTGTACATGTGAATGTAGACTAATCATTCCACATGTGAATAGGACAAAAAACAGCTCACTTCCTCTGTAATGTGACGCGCACCAGGGGAAGGTTTATTGTTTAAAACAGGCGGAAAAAAGTAAAATATCCAATTTGAATTTGGTAGTTTTAGATGATTAGTAACAATATGTAATTTATGCATAGTTTATACCCAAACTTGAATTTTCTACACCTTTTCTAAATGAAAGATGTTTTCTTTAATTAAAGCTTGTAAAAATCAAACTATGTTGACAACTGTTTCTTTTTTTACTTTAGGCGAGAGGCCGTTTAAATGCAACATATGTGGGAATCGCTTTACAACGAGAGGGAATCTGAAGGTTCACTTCGAGAGACATAAAGCCAAGTACCCTCATGTTAAGATGAACCCCCACCCTGTCCCAGAACATCTTGACAAAATACCATCAATGCCTCTGATTGGATCCCCTTTCCCAACAACACCGACGCCGCCTCTTCCACTTCCGGGAGGAATGTTCACCTCAGCGCCACCTATGTCAATTTCTTCTATGATGTCATCAATTTACTCCAACTCTATGTTTGGGCCTAGACCAGCACCGCGATTTCCACCAGGACCCTCTCATAGCGGAGAGCAGAGATCCTCGAGTGCTGCATCTTCCTCAAGTCTCTCTCAAACCAGTCCCACACCAACAGCACAGACTGCAAGTGAAGCGCCGGTGCGTAAGTCTCCCAACGTAACTGATACAGCAGTCACTACACCAGCGACGTCTGCTGTGAAGCGCGAGGCACCCAGCCCGATTGAGTCCCAGTCCAAAATGAGTCGTCAATCTAGTCAATTTCCTCTTCTATCACCAGTCCCATCAGTACCACCACCTCCTCTGACGCCATCTGCTGGTGGATACTCATCACGTGATTCAATCTTGCCAACTAAACTGATTGACCATGACGAAAGTCTAGAGCAGTATATGGAAATCGATCGTTCAGAGACGTCTAAGCTACAACAACTCGTAGACAATCTGGAAAACAAAGTATCGGATCCAAACCAATGCGTTATATGCCACCGTGTTCTTAGCTGTAAAAGCGCCCTTCAGATGCATTACCGCATCCATACTGGTGAACGACCATACAAATGCAAGATTTGTGGCCGGGCCTTTACAACGAAAGGAAACTTGAAAACTCACATGGGTGTTCATCGAATGAAACCCCCTATCAGGATGATGCACCAATGCCCAGTTTGTCACAAAAGCTTTACAAACCTATTGGTTCTACAACAGCACATACGAAGCCACGCAAGCTTGCCTGGGATGCCACCGATGCCAGACATGTCTCATTTCAAAGCATTTGGAAACTTCCCGAGACCCATGGAATGGGGTCACCGACCATTTGATCTTTCCTTCAGACCCGGACCTGAAAGGGAACTAGACCTTAGCAAAACATCCCCAACGTATCAGATGAAACGAAGCAAGGAATACGAAGATGACATGGAGGATAGAGATGTTTCTAGAGATATGGATGATGATTACAACGACGAACCAAGTCGTAGCGAAGGAGAGTTACGACAAAATGGCAATGATCATGCAGACGAGACAAATGAGGAGGAAGGCAATGGAAATGATAAAGAAAACCATTTAAAGGATCGTCCCTTACGGCCGGATTCAGCAAAATCTGACAGTTCGAAAGGTTCCGCCAGATCTGCATCTCCAAACACAGATGACGAGAGCAATTTGGGATTTCACTCCACAAGCATGTTTACCCCTTCCTTAGGAATGGGATCGATACCTTCATATAACACTTCTCTCGCTGCACTTGAAGAACGCGTGCGAGCAATTGATTCTTCCATGGCGAGTCATAGATATAATCCGTTCGGTCTTAATGGATTTCCACACCCTCCAATGGAAAAGAAAAAAATGGAAGACAATGGCGATATATCAGACTCAGAGGAAAATGGATCAGCAGATGATAGCAAACCAGGGACGCCAGCTTTGTCCGTGAACAGTGATGGTGGAAATTCTATGAATGGATTCATGATGAGCGGAGACAAATTGACCACTACTTGTAATATTTGCTATAAAACTTTTGCGTGTCGAAGTGCTTTGGACATTCACTACCGTAGTCATACCAAAGAGCGCCCTTTTAAGTGCGAAGTCTGTGACCGGTCCTTTACCACGAAGGGAAATATGAAGCAGCACATGCTAACGCACAAAATACGCGACCTTCCTAATTCATTCAATAACAACAGCAACAGCAGTGAGAATCTGGAAAACGATGAAGCATTTGATACGCTCGAAAACTCCAACGACTCAGTAACAGACGAGAAGAAAACGGAGGACCAACCGCACAAACAAGATTCGCCTAAAGTCAGTGAAAGCAATAACCAGGAGCGACAGAGCAGCGCGCCTTCTGTTTCCAGTAGCAGTGGGAGTAATTATACAAATAGTGGAGGAAGCGTCTCCAATGGTTCACAGGATAACTCCCCATTCCTGCGAAGAACTCCACTGAAGCACCAATGCCAAGTTTGCCAGAAAGGTTTCTCAAGCGCCAGCGCCCTACAAATTCACATCAGAACTCATACTGGAGACAAACCCTTCAAATGCACGGTTTGTGGTAAAGCCTTTACAACAAAAGGGAACTTGAAAGTTCATATGGGTACTCATATGTGGAATAACAGTCCCTCTCGTCGTGGGCGCAGGATGTCCATCGAACCTCCGTTCATGATGACGCACAAAGAGAATCCCTACATGCAGGGAGGCTTTCCACCAAGAGCTCCGGATTTCTTTCCTTACCAGTTTCCACCCTTCATGAATGGCGTCCCCCCTCACAAGATGAACGAAATATCTGTCATTCAGAGCCTGGCTAGTGGTATGGGACACATGCCGACTATACCGCTCAACGCAGATCATCTGACCTCGCCACGACCCAAGCTCACTGACAGTGAAGGAAAAGCTGCGTCATGGAGGAAAAGCGATACGAATGGAAATATTACTTCCTCGGGAGAGCTGGACTTGAGTATGAAAACAAATACATCCACCTCACCAAACAATAACAGTAAACCCTCCCCCACCCCCGGGGACAACTGGAACTCTGCCTGGAAGACCATGTGTCACCTATGTAACCAGAACTTTCCCTCCCCATCAGCGCTAGAATATCACCTTCAGAACTTCCATCTGAAAGGCGCCGAACCACGCCCAAAAAGCATAGTTGCTTAAATACTTAAAAAACGGTGTTGTAAATTATGTTAGGCATTCCACTGTCAGCCAGAACATTATTGTGTTGTTGAATGTTACTGTTTATCATCTGTGAAAAGAGATATGAATGCATCAGAAATCCTGTAAATATTGATAAGAAATCCAAATTGTTTCACAGATAAAAAGGATGGTGCATTTACAATATACATGTAGAGGCATATGTAAGGCTGTAGTATTGTTAGCCGCTATTGACGCATGCATTGAAGAAGTTTCAAAGTCTTGAATTTTTGCAAGTAGTCTTGCGCATGGAAAGTCTAGTCGAATCTCATCGATAATCAAACAACATATCACGTAATATAGTATCTTCTACCTCGTTTTGCTTATTGTAAACATAGGGCGGTGTATTCGATTCATTTTGAGTGGCTATATACGATTGTTATTCTTGGAAAGAATAAGTGCTTGCAATACCTGCTACGCATTAAAATTGATTGATACGCAGTCAATGAATATTAAGCATTTCAATTATCCAAATAAGGGTTATATATACATATATGTTGAATAGTGAGTACATGTATTGTAGTTTAGTACAGTGTTTCGCTTTGTATACAAACCGTTAGTTTATTTGTACATACAGATATTGATTTATATACATATACTGATATACATGTATTGCTTTTTTGTTATTTTATTATGAAAGCTTACAGACTTGTACATTTTATTTTACTTGTTATTTTCTTTACATCAGACAATTTTGTAATTATATGTCTAGCTGTGGTTACCACGTCATCAACTTTGTATGAGAGTCACTTGTAGCTATGGTAACAAGTTTACGGTGCTGCTTAGCATTCTTTTGCCCCCTGCTGACATTATATTAGAATTTTTTGCGGAATTTATTTTTCACCGGTCTATAGTTGTGTGCATGTTTATTTATTGAACAATATTTGTGTCTTCCTTTGTTTCACTGCTGGGGTACAACACACAACCTATCACCCCAATCATCTCCATGCAAACAATGTGCACTGGGAACAAATACAGACTGTAATGTGTAGTTTTAGAGTTTAAGACTAGATCCTGTGTTATTATTTTTTTTCATATGATGAAGTGATAGTTATTTGGTTTATGGAATATGTGATCAAATGAGTTCACTTTAAAAAGGAATTGTGACGCATGCGTGCTGAGTGAAGTTGTCTGAACTTTTGACCTTTGTACAGTATACAAAACGTTAAAGACGCCAGACAGATGGTGATAAAATTTGTGAAATCCATAACTAATCTGTATTGTAGTTGTTCTGAAAACTGTATTTAAAAAGTGATTTTTAGGTAAGGAAATCCATGTTTGATTATTTCCCACAGGTTATTGAGTTCTAGCGTTAGATTTAGGTTCGACACTCTACAAAAGAACGTTATTTGATAACGCTGTATTTTTGTCTGTGATGACATAATTTGAATAATTATAACACTGTACAGAAGTGTCGAAATTAAAGTGTGGATGTTTGGAAAGATTTAGTGATCCCAGGTTACCTGTGTTCTTCATAGATTTTGCCAAATGGCAAAGAAGCAAAATAAAAATATACGTAAAAATATCACTGATTTGTGTTCTTTTTTTTATATGGACTTATGTCGTGGGACAGTAATACCCTGCATGGTAGCTGCACACCCATGTTTGAAGGGAGTCAGATCATCTGAAGAGCCACGCTGCACAAGCATCTTCCATATCCCAAGAAACATCCTTATCCTCCAGTATAAATTATTACAAATGAGAAATAGTTTTTGTAAATTATTTGAAATTATACTATAATTTCACCGCTCTTAATGGACACGATAAAAATTCGAAAAGTTCATGGAAACATTTTTTTTCTGAAAGTTTTTTATCATTTTTTTTGAAAAAAAATGATTCAATTAATTATATATTGATATATACTTTATTTTTTCAATTATGTTTCAAGGAAAAAGCTTCATGCAATAATTTGATCTCACTCCAAATAAAGCGATGGTATGTAGTGTTATAAGATTTTACATTGATTACCCGTGATTTTTAGGTTTATTAAGTAGAATGGAGACTTGGCCTTTTCATATTAAAAAATCAGATTACATGTAATAATCTATTCAGTAAAATAAATATATCATATATTTTTTAAAAAAATTGACATTACTGAAAATATAATTGTGAAAGAAAAAAAAATTACCATGAACTTTAATTTGAAATTGAGAAATACAGGATCTAAAAGCTGATGTTTTCCCCGTTCTTTCACATCTTTTCAATACTGAATCTGTATTTTTCCATTGAGTTGTATTAATTTTAGAACATAATTCAAACTTTATAGATGAAATATATTAACTGAGCAATTCTACGAAGAACATCTAGAAAAAGAAATTAGTTTACTTCAAACGTGAAAATGTTTATTCAAACGTTAACCAAACCTCGGTTTCAAAAAATGATAGCAAAGAGAATACGTAGAAAGAAGAGAACGACATTGTGAAAACAAAGGACAGAGATGTTTGGTTTTCATTTAAACATATAATTCATGACAAATATAAGAATTTCTCTGTGCAAATGTCAAGCAAACAAGTGAAAAAGTTAAGAGAGCAAGATTACATTGGTTCCATTTATTGAATAACAAATGATTAGCAGGTTAAAGGTTAAAGGTTTCCGTAAAAGGTGAAGGTTACTCTGGCAAGTATTGTCAACTTTGCCTTGCGCCTTTTACAGGTATACATGGATACTGTACCTCCAAATCTGGTGAACCTTGACCCTCAAGCAGCTCATATTTCCAGGTCAAGGATATCATCGTTGTTTCTTATGGTCGCCTTAAAACTTGATGGCATAAAAGAATATGTCTAGTCTCCAAGACCATAAATTGAGAACAGACTTAAACCTGTTAAGTTCAAAATAAGTATTCGGGTTTACCTTGATTTCTATTAACCTGCTTGAAAAGTTGCTAGTTTGTATATTTTTTATAACTAAAATCAAGTTATGAAAATTCTTGGGTTTTTTTAAAGACCTATTTCGGAAGTTTTACTGATTTGAAATTTTGGTTTTTAGATGTTCAGTGTATTGTCTCAGTTCATGGTCTTGGGACAAGGTAGTTTTACTATGAGTTCTTTTTTAAAGTAATATGAGTTTTTTATGCCCTCGGAATGGAAGATGCGGAGATATACTTTAATTTTGTTTGTCTGCAAAACATTTAACCTTGCCCATAACTTTTGATTAGGTGAAGCTATGACTTTGATATTTCACTTTATTTTTTGTGACAGGCCCTTCCAGTAGATACCAACAAATTTGACATCTTGACCTTGAAATTTGATCCAATTTTGCCAAAAAATTATCCAACTTTAACCTTGGGTTTTTTGAATATTGTAGTTGATGCTAAGTCTTTTTAACGTCATTTTTAGCTCTACTGGTCAGAGACCAGAAGAGCTTATGCGATAGTAATGCGTCCGTCGTCCGTCCGTCTGTCTGTCTGTCCGTCTGTAAACAATTTTTCAAAATGCTACTCCTCCTACAAATTTGGTCTGATTTCAATATAACTTGGCACACAAGTAGACTACACTAAGATACATAATTCTGTGTATCGGTTTTTGATTTGGATGAACGGTGTTGCCGTGGTTACTAAAAATAGAAATTTCTGTGAAATTCTTTCAAAATGCTACTCCTCCTACAGTTTTGGTCTGATTTCAATTTAACTTGGCACACAAGTAGACTACACTAAGATACATAATTCTGTGTATCGGTTTTTGATTTCGATGAACGGTGTTGCCTTGGTTACTGAAAATAGAAATTTCTGTGAAATTCTTTCAAAATGCTACTCCTCCTACAGTTTTGGTCTGATTTCAATATAACTTGGCACACAAGTAGACTACACTAAGATACATAATTCTGTGTATCGGTTTTTGATTTCGATGAACGGTGTTGCCGTGGTTACTAAAAATAGAAATTTCTGTGAAATTCTTTCAAAATGCTACTCCTCCTACAGTTTTGGTCTGATTTCAATATAACTTGACACACAAGTAGAACACACTAAGGTACATAAATCTATTTATCAGTTTTTGATTTCGATGAACTGTGTTGACGTGCTTCTAAAAATAGAAATTTCTGTGAAATTCTTTCAAAATGCTACTCTTCCTACAGTTTTGGTCTGATTTCAATATAACTTGGCACACAAGTAGACTACACTAAGATACATAATTCTGTGTATCGGTTTTTGATTTCGATGAACGGTGTTGCTGTGGTTACTAAAAATAGAAATTTCTGTGAAATTATTTCAAAATGCTACTCCTCCTACAGTTTTGGTCTGATTTCAATATATAACTTGGCACATAAGTAGACTACACTAAGATACATAATTCTGTGTATCGGTTTTTGATTTTGAACGGTGTTGCCGTGGTTACTAAAAATAGAAATTTCTGTGAAATTCTTTCAAAATGCTACTCCTCCTACAGTTTTGGTCTGATTTCAATATAACTTGACACACAAGTAGAACACACTAAGGTACATAAATCTATTTATCAGTTTTTGATTTCGATGAACGGTGTTGCTGTGGTTACTAAAAATAGAAATTTCTGTGAAATTATTTCAAAATGCTACACCTCCTACAGTTTTGGTCTGATTTCAATATAACTTGGCACACAAGTAGACTACACTAAGGTACATAATTCTGTGTATAGTTTTTCACTTCAATGAACGGTGTTGCCACGGTTACTAAAAATAGAAATTTCTGTTTAATACATTCAAAATGCTACTCCAAATACAGTTTTAGTCTGATTATAATGTAATGTGGCATGCAAGTAGACTACACTAAAACATAAAGAGACTAAATCAAGGATCATTTTTCTATTAATTGCTTTTGAAAAGTTTCAATTCCCAACTGCCTAAGTACTTTTCTCTTCTTTTGCTATAAGTACAAACCAGTAGAGCTTCAGTCTCAACAGAGACTTCTGGTTTTTTTAAATTTGACATAGGTATTTATATTTTTAAACAATTGACCTTGACCTTAGAGTTTGACCCACTTAAAAAATCTTAAGCCTTAGCCATAACTTTTGAAGAGTTAACACTGGAAACTGGAAAGTTCATATTTCACAACCAAATTTCTCTTAAAAAGACCTTTGGATATCCAAAATTTTGACTTTTTAAATGTGACCGTGAAATTTCACCTACTTTCCAAAAAACTTTGACCTTGGCCATAACTTTTGAGCAGTTATGTCACACTTGTATTTCTTATGACAAAGTCCTCTCTGTGTATACCATTAATTTTGAGCCATTAGTCTCTAACCTTGGAGTTTGACCCACTTTGAAGAAACTTTACCCTTGACAATATATTTTGAATGGTAAGATCTTGGGCTTTCATATTTTATAGGTATATTGATCTAGTAGACAAAGCCTTCTTTGGTTAACAACATTTTTGTTCTCTTGACCTTGGAAATTGACATGCATTTGAGAAACTTTAACATTCGCCATAAGCTGCCGTACGAAGGCATCAGTGTTTCACAACCATATTTTGTTCCTTTTTGTTGTTGTCGTTACAAAATTCAAATATTGCTGTAAAACATATTTCTTTGATAATTATGCAGGTAACAAACTTTCATAATAAATAAAACTAAAGCTTTTTAAGCTTTTTAATCTTTTAACTTTTTTTAAAATTCAAAGTCATGAACTGATTGTGACTTTATGCTTTCATAAGTACTTCACTCAGACCATGAAAGGAAGGCCTAGGATACTAGATCTGTTGCGCTACCTACTTTGGCTGGTCCCTTGGTTATTGTACGGGGCAACAAGAAAGAATAAGGTGACTATACTCTGGGTCAAGGTCACAATTCAAACACAAAGGTAAGGAATCAATCCTTACGTCGCAGGTTCGAACCCTATTGTGGGAAGTGGTGACCGCTCCTTCGGATGAGACCGTATAAACCGAGGTCCTGTGTCGCAATAGGTGCTGGCACGAAAAAGATCCCTCCCTGCTCAGTGGCCCTGAGTGCCGAGTATACATGTAGGACAAAATTTGCAGCTCTCCACCGGCAAGTGGTGGCGTCTCCATATGAGTGAAAATTTTTCGAGAGGGACGTTAAACAATATTCAATCAATCAACAAATCACTTCGTTGCAGAGAAGCTAGCTTTCATTATGATTTATTCTGTACAGATTGGTGACAATTTACTCAGGACACCGGTTATAGTAGGATAACTTAAAATAATCTTCACAATCAATCAGTCAATCAAACATAGATAAATCACTGTTGAAATTGAAGTTAATGTCCGACTTGTATATTTCTGGTCATTATACTTGGGGATTTTTTGATGGGGCATGGTGGCTTAGCTTCATTTATATTCTGAATTTTGAAGACGCCTTCGACAAACATATTCAAAGAATTAAGTAAGATGTTGCTATTTCCTGGTCAGATAATTAGTTATAATATTCACATTACTATTAATTCAAAATTAATAATGAATTCTGAGGAGGTTCCAGCTACTCGTGATGGATGATAGAAAGATTTGTTTTAATTTCACTTAAAGCTGCACATGATGTATGCCGTTTAAAACTGCACAGAGTGAACAACCTATCGGTACTCGATCTAAGTAATTCACGATTC